CCCCAAAAAAAAAAAAAAAAAAAAAAAAAAGACAACAGGGCAAAGGGAGCTGGGCTTCAACCCTATAACGGCTATCAGGGGTGGAGAGAGCAACTCTCCAGTGGAGAACTCCAGAGTCCCGGGCTGGCAGGGACCAGTGGCATGCTGTCCTTGATGGGTGGATGGGTGGATAGATGGATGGATGGATAGATGAGTGGGTGGGTGGATGGACAAGTGGATAGATGGACATGCAGATAGATGAACAGGCGGATAGGTGGGTGGAAGGATGGAGAGGCGGGTGTGGGTGGGCAGGTGAGTGGATGGGTGCATCTACTGGAGGTGTTGATGGCAGGGGTCCTTGGAGCCCACCCCTTTGCTCTTTGTTTGGGGAATGGAGGTCTGGAGAGAGAGGGGCTGCCTGCGGCCTGTCAGGCACTGATAGAGCTGGGCCGGGGACCCTGCTCTTTTGGCTCCCTGTCTGGAGTTCAGGTTTGTTTCTGTATGTATGTATGTATGTATTTATTGGCGGCATGGCATGTGGGATCTTAGTTCCCTGACCAGGTATCGAACCCGTGCCCCTGGCAGTGGAAGCGCAGAGTCTTTACCACTGGACAGCCAGGGAAGTCCCAGGGGTTCAGGTTTAGAAACTAGGGCAGGGCAACCGGAACATTGCCTCAAGGTCCCGACTAAGTGTTGGGAGGGGCACGACGTTTATGGAGGGTGCATATTTTAGCTTTTGTGGCAGACGCCCCTTCCGATTATTTCTGCAGCTGCAGTGGGACACAGGTGCGCACACGGCCAGCCTGGTGGGCCCCTGCCAAGATGGGCAGCCTCACTGGTGAAGATCAGGGGCCAGGATCTTACTGACCAGGGGCCTCTTCCTTTTCCCCCTCGGATAGCACGTCTCTCCCTCCCTGGAGGAGGGTGATGGAGGGCTCATTCTTCAAGCTGCTTGCTTCCCCAGGGAGCATGGGACTCACGCATCCCCCACTTCACTCCTGCCAACAGACCCCTCTCACAAGTCCTGGATGGCCCCCGAAGCCCTCAAGTTCTCCTTCAGCCAAAAATCTGACATCTGGTCCCTGGGCTGCATCATTCTCGACATGGCCGGCTGCTCCTTCCTGGATGTGAGGGGCCTTCCATCCACCCCTCCCCGCCACACCTGAACCCCGCTCCCCACAGCCCCAGGGAGCCAGGCTCTGCCCACCCCCGGCCCTGAAAAGGGCGCATTCTTCCCGTTGGCACCCTCCTGCCCACGCTGAGTGCCTGTGGGGCTGTGTGGAGGCCCCCCCCCCGCTGCCCCAGCCGCCGGAGGACCCCGCATTTGGGCCTGCTCGGCCCTCGTGTGGTGGTGGTGATGGTGATGGTAACATTCAATCCGCCCCCAACAGCGCCCCCTTATGGACAAGAACAGCTGAGCTCGGTTGCACTAACTGGCCCACAGTGGGAGTCCAGCAGTGGACGGAGGGCTGTTCCCTTACTCCCTCCAGCCAGTGAGATGGCCACTTGCTTTTCTCTGAACTTCCATTTCTTCTTCGTACAAGAACTCTGGGGCGCAGGTGGCCTCTGTGCGCTCCTGACGGCGGCGGCCACGTCGCCTCCCCTCTGCCCGAGGTCAGGCCATCTTCCTTTAGCTGAGGAGGTGCACAAGTGGTCCTCTCTCTCCTCCCAGAGCACGGAAGCCATGCTTCTGCGGAAGTCCATCCGGAGTTCCCCCGACGGCCTGAGGGGTGTCCTGAGGACCATGGAGGAGAGGAGGGTCCCCGATGCAGAAATCTTCAGTTCCCTTTTGCCTCTGATGCTCCAGGCTGACCCGTCGGATCGAATACCCATCAGGTGAGCTCAGGCCCTGGGGTGGCAGTTCACTGTCAGCCTGTGCACGCACTTGGGGTTTTAACACCACTAAGCGCTGCATCTATGGACAATGGCTCCTCCAGTGTGGGCTGTCCCAAACTGTGGCCACATCTCTGAGTGCAAGACAAACAGGGCCAGCTTCCCCATCAGGTGCGGGAGGCATGGCCCAGGGCCCAGGAAGATGTTTTAACTCTAATGTAAAGTCAGAAGAACAAAATGATCCACCCTGGGTTATGTTCACCTTTATACCAACACAGCCAGAAATTGTGATTTTTGGGTCTATGTTATGGAGGAAGGGGCCCACGCGAGTGCAAGCGCCAGGGCCCAGCACTGTCCTCCCTCGGCCCCTCCTGGAGGGGGAATTGCTGCAGTGCCCGCTCGACGCACCGTGATGCTGGGAGAGGTGCTCCCAAGCGGGTGCCCCAAACAGGTGGAGGCCCAGCAGCTGCTGGACGCAGAGGGGATGCAGGGCCAGCTGGCGGCTCTCTGCCCCTCCCCAGGGACGTGATTCACTTGTTTGTGAGCAGCGACTTCAGGTCCTCCAGCAGTGCTCTGACGCTGCACCAGCAGGTGGTGCCTGACTTCATCATCGACAGGCTGCTAGAAAGCAACGTCACCAGCATCTTAGGTGATGACGGGGCCCTGAGGGGGCAGCGCCAGAGGCTGCTGTGGCCCCGGCACCCCATTGTCTTTAGCTGGGGGGCAGTGACCCCCCCCCAGTCCCCTGGACTGCTCCTCACACATGGCCGGTGGGCTTGCCCCTCGTCCATCCCAAGCACTGCTTTGCTCAGGGTACCACCCCGCTCAGATACCCCCGAGCTTACCTAGAGCAGAGTTCATCTCTGTGGCCAGGCCCCCACCTGCTTCCCCTCTGTTCCGGCTACACAGTCCTCGACGTCACCGAACAGCCCCTCACTGCCACGCACCCCACCACAGACTCCCCGCTTTTTGCTCGCTCGCCCGGCACATGGCGGCCCGGTGCCTGGAGTGTCTTCCCCAATGAGCAGCACCTCCTTTGTAGTTGCTACGTGCCCAGAATGGTGCTCACGCTGGGGCCGGCACAGCAGCCACCGTGGACCAGCAGGCACGGCCCTGCAGGAAGGTGAGGTGGCCCAGGGGCTCCGTGTGCAATGTGACATGTGCAGGCCTGAGGCTCCAGGCACAGTGCTGGCTGGTCACCCCCCACCCCGCAAACGCGCACACGATAGACTCCTCCGCGTGCCCCAGGCTGGGGGCTACCCCCACGGTCTTGGGCAGAGAATGGATCTGGAGGTCATCTTCCAGTTTGGGGGTGGCTCCGCCCTCCCATCCCTCCTCCCCATCAGTGGCTCCCTGCGCGGTCTGCCTGTGATAAAGGGCTGCCACCTCTGCCTCCCTTTCTGGAGAAGGGGACCCGTGAGGGCCCAGCTGCTGTCTCCCTGTCTCGTGGCCATGGGCTTTGGAGGCAGACAGCTGGGTCCAGCTGAAGGTCATCGCCCTGAGTACCCTGGAGGGAGTTACCTGAGGGAGGTGTGGAGTGGAAGCACCCCCCTGGGCGGGCTCTCAGGCAGATCCAGGTTCGACTTTGGACAGGTGGCTCGGCCGGGAAGGTGAGGATGATAAGGTCGCCGCCTCGCGCCGGGTCACGTGGGCCTGTGCAGTGGTGCTCAGGGATGCGCCCCCGGTGCCCTGGCCCTCAGGCGGGTCCCTGAGCCAAGGCGCCGCCCCGTGCTGCCCTGTCCCCCACAGAGGTCCTGCAGAACTTCTCCAGCCACCCCGAAGACCAGCAGAGGGCCCTGGAGAGGCTCCTGGGGATGTCTGAAGACCAGCAAGGTAGAGCCGCCACCCTCTCGCCTTCCCCCAGGTGCCCCGGCCCTTCCAGCTTCCCTAGCTGGTACTTTCTGCCGCCCGTTTACATTCCCATGAGCATGCACAGCTTTACCACCTGCTTGGAACAGGAGCCTGGACTTCCTCCTGTGCCGCCGCTTTCACTGAGCAGACAAGTGGGCGGGGGCTGGGCTTGGCATCCGAACCACTTCCCGGGGCCCCCCCTCACGTGCTGTTCACAGATGCTTAATAGCCACCCCGTCCCTGCCACCATCCCTCTGGTTGGCTATTTGAGTGGTTGCCGACTCCCCGGTATCATAAGCAATGTTACACAGCCCACCCCGGGGCATGTGCGTGTGTTCTGTGTGCTTCCGCAGGGTAAATTCCTAGATGTGCAGGCTGTGAATACTTCACGTTTTCATAGATACTGCAAATGGCCCTCCGTCGCTGCACCAACTTTCTCACCTCCCAAGAGTGCAGGAGAACACCTCTTCACCCAACTTTCTCCATCAAGGAGTATTAATATTTTTAATTTTGCCAAAACATTGCTTCGTAAAATCTCTGCCCTCAATCTGTCTCACCAGCCTGAATATTACATTCATTCACTCATCCGTCCGTCCATCCATCCACCCATCTCTCCATCTGTCCATCCATTCATCCACCCGTCTCTCCATCCATCCATCCATCCATCCACCCGTCTCTCCATCCGTCCGTCCATACATCCATCCGTCCACCGATCGTCCTTCCATAGATGGTCGTCCCAGTGGCCGGGACAGCAGAGATCATAAGGGCCCAGTGCCAGCCCTCTAATGAGGCAGCAGAGACCTCACCTTGGCCATTTCCCTTCCTCTCCCTCTCCTTCCCCGTGACCCCGTCTGGAGCAAGGCTGTGGAGAGGAGAGAGTCCATGGGAAGAGATTCTGCCTTCCCAGAGAGAGTGAGAGAGGCTGCTGGGCCCGTTCCCAAGACTGGCCTCGGCTGTCACCCCAGAGCCACACCTGCCTCAGCCAGCCTCGCCTGGAGACGGGATAGCCATGGGTTGGCTTCCCTGGTGCCAGCACTTTTGTCCTTGTCATTCTTACCAGGAGGACACAGGCTGAGAGAGGTGAAGCAGCAGTTAGGAAGGGGCGCAGCTCTGTGGACCCCCGGCTGCCCACTACTGCCTTCCCCCCTTGCCAGCACACGCCCTGGCCCAGAGGAAGGTCTAAGGGACCCACAGATGTCCCCTCTCAGGGCAGTAACGGCCAAGGGCTCTGGAGTCAGATAGGCTAGGTTCAAAACAAGGGCTCACATCTCCCTGACCCTCAGTTTTCTCATCTGTCAAATGAGGATCGATCTTGTAGAGCTGCTGGAAGAAGATCCCTACGGCAGACGCGTGGCAAGCACTCAACACACCCTGACTGATCGCGTCTGGTCACCCGTCTGCTCATCCACCCAGGGGCCCACGTGTGACGCCCTGCAGACTCCCATCAGGGTCTGGTCCACACCCCCTCCCGCCACCTGCTCGTACGCCGAGTCTCACTCTGCCCCCCACGCTGCCAGGTGTGCCGTGGCCGGCGGAGCTGGCGGAGGTGTTGGTCGGCACTGTGAAGCAGCACGACAGGGTCCTTGACGCACAGCCGTGTGCCTGCTCCCTGCTGCTCCGCACCCGGGGCCAAGGTGGGCTCCGGGCACAGCTGGCTTCTCCTACCCCCGCCCTCCCACGCCAGTCATCGCCCTGGCGTCTGACCCTCTGGGCACCCAACCCCACCCCAGGATGACAGGCAGGGCGCAGCCAGGAGTCTGGGGCACCGCCCGAGGCCTGCCTCTGTGGCCCTGGACCAGCTGCTCCCCCTTCCGGCTGATCTCCAGGCATGAAACGAGGAGCTGGTCATAGGGGTCCTGTGGTGTGAGCCCAGGCAGGTGGGATGGGGTCCCAGGCGTGGGCTCCCAGGAGGGCAGCTGAGGAGGGATGGGAGAGGCTGGAGCTGAGAGCCCGAGGGCCTGGCCTCTGATTTTTAAACTGGAAATACTTCACTGCCTTTCTCACTTGAATATTTAGGCTGAATTTCCACATAATGCTTTACACCGCACGTGCTCAGAGCCCTGGCAGGGGCCCCAGCCCTCCGGTCCTTGGCTCGGTCGTGCAATAAGCACTTATGGTGCACTGGAGCCCCGACCTCGGCTTTCTCCCCGGAGACCCGCCCCCGCCCGCTGTCTTCCCACCGTGGCCCCAGCTCAGGGTTCCCCGGCCTCTTTTGCTGGCCTGCGCAGCACTGGGGCAGGACCCAGCGGCCACGGCGCCGAGCGACAGCACCATGGCCCCCGTGCCACTGAGCATGCGCGGAGCCACCCCAAGGAGCAGCAGCCCCTGGTCACGGTGCACCGCCCGCTCACCGTCGCCAGCCAGGGTGGGCGCCGCCCTCCCGTGGGCGCAGGGCTCAGGCGGGCAGCGCCGGGATGCCCCGAGGGGACAGCTGCTCCGTCCCCAGCTTCCATGTTCACAGTCACGTGTCCCTCTGGCAACATGCACGGGCCGCAGCCAGGCGCCCCCGTGGGCTTCACGCTGACGTGTTTCGGGTTCCCGCCCTTGCTGCCCCACCGGCCCCGCTCCAGAGGCCACCAGCGAGCAGTCGGGGGACGGTGTGGGGAGAGGGTCACCACCGAGGGCTTTACACATGTTCCCCATCTCCAGCCACTAACCGGGTGGGCGTCGTTCTCTCCAAAGGGAAGCTGGGGCCTCACCTGGAGCCCTGCAGCCCCCAGCCCACCCTACACTCACCAGGCAATTTACCACATTTCATTGACCCCGCGCCGAGAAGTGCAAAGGGCTGCCATGAGCAGCCATGTTGGGACAGCAGCTGTAAATCGGGACCACCTGGCAAACAATGCCAGGTGATCACCCTGAGAGAACACAGTCGTGGTCCCATCTTGGAAGGAAAGCTCAGAGGCCGGTCCCAGCCCAGCAATGGGATGGGAGGTGCTGGAACGGTGGCCCAGGGGATGGCTCATACCCTTGTTTCTGGGTCTCATGCTGGGCATGAAACTGGCCAAGTAGGCACCACTGGCGTGGGATGCATGGGATTGCAGTGCCCTAGGACCACAGAGAAGGGGTGGCGCCCAGGGAGGGCTTCCTCCAGGTGTTCTCTGTGGTCCTAATGCCGGGGCCCACCTGCAGGACTGGCCACAGACGAGCTGCGGAGGGCCGGGCTGTGCGAGTGCATCCTGGAGCGCCTGGACGCCCTCCCTAGGAACAGGGACACCTGCTTGAACGGCCTGAGGCTGCTCTGGGCTCTGCTGGTGGACGGTGAGCGGGCCCGGGGCTGCGCCCTAACCACCCGAGAGCCGGGAGGAGAGGGAGACAAAGGGCCACGGTGGACGGGAGAAGCTGCACCGGTATCCTGGGGAGGGGTGGGTTCATATTCGGACCCCCTCGTGCCGGGCCCATGGAACCCTCTAGCTCACGCACATCGTGGGATTTCCTGGGCAGTCCCTGGTTCCACAAGCTGGCCTTAGCACTGGGCAAACCATCCTGACTTCTGATTCAGAAAGGGGGTGCTCCCAGGCCGTGCCACTCCCTCTCCAGGCCCCACTTGGCCCTCCAGCACCTGGGAGGTCATTTTCCCCAAGGAAAAGAGGGCTCTCGACCGTGGAGAGCCTGCCCACACCCGGCACGCAGGGCTTCCCAGACCTCCCCTTGGGGGCCCTGCCGATTCCTACCCTACGGACTGGCTGGCAGGCGGGGGTTGCCCCTCCCCCCCAGCTTCTGCGCCACCAAGGAGTAGGTGTCCCCTCCTCCACCCCGTCCTGTTCCAGCTGTCATCGTGAACAAGGCCCCCTGGGAGAAAGCCCCGGCCCTCATTGCTGAGGTGCTGGCCACCTACCCCACGGACGCGGAGATGGCTGAAGCCAGCTGTGCAGTCCTGTGGCTGCTGTCCTTGCTGGGTGAGCAGCCCGGGGCCCCGGGGCCGGAGAGGTGGCCCTGGGCCCTTGAGACGAGGCACGTGTGGCCCCCCGCAGGCTGCATAGGCGAGCAGCAGTTGGAAGAGGTGGTGGTCCTAATCCTGCAAAGCATCCGGGCGTGCCAAGACCGAGCCCTGCTGGTGAACAATGCCTGCCAGGCGCTGGCCAGCCTCGCGAAGATGTCCGGTGAGCCTGGGACGGCCGGGGCTGCCACTAGGAGGCGGCGGCAGACTCCCCCAGCAACGCCTGCCGGCAGCCCCAAACCAAAAGCAGCACACGCTCAAAGCAGGGAGGGGAAACACCTACAGTCCCATCGCCCAGACGTCACCGCGCAGACCTGTACCCTCACTTCCCACTGCTCTCTGCAACTCTGCACGGTGACCACCTTGCCTGCCACCCACAAGCCTGGCGTGTGCGCAGGCTCCCCTCCAGGTGTGGCTCTGAAAACAGCCCGAGTCAGAGCTCTGAACTCCGCCTCCACGCAAAGCCCAGCTGTTCCTAAGCCCCCGGCCCAGGTTCTGCACCCGACTTGGCACCACGAGCCCTAACGGACACTCGGGGCCTGGAGCCTGGCAGAGGTTGCCCGCCGTGTGGGGTGGTTTGGCCCCTGTGAGGTCCGGCCCCTGCTGGGTGTGCAGGCTGGTGGGTCTCTGCCTGCTACTTGGCCTGAAGCAGGGAGTGGGGTGACCTTCACTCCTGGAGAGAACCTCCCGAGCGGGCGGGGTCTCCGGGCCTACGCCCCGCTCCCACCGGGATCCCGCCGTCAAACGGGGTGGGGTGCTGAAGCCCCAAGAGCAAAAGGCACGTGGCTCAGTGAACAAGGAGCGGGGTTGTCAGAACCCAGCGAGCGTGCGGGACCCCAGAGCCGGGAATCTCGGCTTTGCCTCCTGCTGGCTGTTGACGGCTAAGTCCACTCCCTGGAGGGTCAGCTTCCCCCTGGGCTCCAGGAGGATCTGACAACTACGTGACATCACGGGTCACTGCTCTCACGGGCCCCCAGCCCCCCAGGAGCCAGGCCCAACCCCGCACTGACGGGCCTCCTCACGGGGCAGGCAGGTGCCCTGGAACGTCCCCAGCACCCTCTCTACAAGCACACTGGCCTTGGGGGCTGCTGGGATGGAGAGAGAGGCGGGTGCACACCCCACCAGAGGACACCCGCAGATGCAGAGCCAGGAAAAGCCTGGCCTTGGCGGTCCCCACGCTGCAGGACAGCATGGCGCCCCCTGCCAGCTGAGGCTCTTGCTGCCCCACGTGTTCAGTACTACTGTCACCCACCCACCCCCTCGCCCACGCCCAGAGCTGGCGGCCCTGCAGGTGGTGATGCCCGAGGAGGGCAGCAGCGGCCTCACCCTCATCCAGGAGACGTACCAGCTCCACCAGGACGACCCGGAGGTGGTGGAGAGCATCTGCATGCTGCTGGCCCACCTCGCCTCCCACAGTGAGGACCCCCCTGCCCTCGTCACGCCCTCCCTGGAAGCCAGCGTTCAAGAGGCGCCCTGCTAGCGGCTATGACCGCTGGGGGAGGGGCAGGAACCCTCCGTGCCAGGCACACGCTAAGCCTCGGGACCCTCTGCTCTGCCCGCAGAGGACATCCTGTCAGAGCTGGTGTCCAGCGGCATCCAGCCCCTGGTCGAGGAGATCCACGGGCGCTTCACCTCCAGCCTGGTGAGTGTTGGGGGGCTGCCTCAGCCAGACCTGGGTGGCACAGAGTCCAGGGGCCGGAGCAGTGGTTTGTGTGGAGGCAACTGGGGCTGCCGCGTGTGTGGTTTTAAGAGGCCCTCCCTGTATCACCGTGTCCACGACCTGCCCAAAGTAAACCCCGGAGAGAAGCAGCAGTGAGACCGCTTCGAAGAAAAGCAGATTAAGTAACAGAAGTTACTCGTGGGCCCAGAGACCGGCCATGGAAACGGCTGACCTACTGTTCTCCTCGCAGGAGCTGGTCTCTTACGCACAAAGTGTGCTTCAGAAACTGGAAGAGGCCTCGCGGCCCAGCTCCGACGGGGGGCAGTAGACCTGTCGCAGGCAGCCGCCCGGGGAGGGCTGCCTCTCCCTCCTCAGGCTGTACCTGACGGGGCGCCCACTGCCACAGGGCGGCTCCTTAGGGGTGGGGGTCAGGGAGAGGTGTCACCCAGGACCAGCAGGGGGGCACGGCAGTCCCCTCAGACACTGAGCCTCACAAGCTCCAGCTCAAGTAAAAACCTGCGTTTATGTCACACAACATCCTCCGTGGGTTCAGACTCTCTGTACGGCTAGCGGGGCTCAGTATAGCCTGCTGCTAAACGCTCCACGCACTGCAACCGGCTGCTCCTGTGCTCAGAAAGCCCCCCGCCCCGGGCCGGGGGGAGAGGGCTGCGGGCCGCCCGTGGTCAGAACGTCCATCCTAGTCGGGGAGTCGCCCACCTCTGGGGAGAACTGTTGCCACCGCGCTGGGCAGCCCGAGCTCCCCACGCCGGCCGTGGGCCCCGACCTGCAGTTTAAACTTGTGTGCAGCGGGTGAGAAAGGAACCGGTGAAAACCCCTCGACGAGGCTGCCGCCGGGCTACCCACAGCCGCGCGGTCCAGGCTCGAGTCCGCGGAGGTCTTTCCTTTCCGTTGGCCGAGGTAACGAGGGAAAGGGGCCTCCTTGGAGGAAGGTGCCACACACCTGGGACAACTAGGCGCTTCTGGTCCTGGGGCCCGGGGAATCCGCAGGGACAGCCCGTCCTCCCGTCCCACGTGCGGGGACGAGTCTCAGACGCCACAACCAGACAGGAGACGTTCTGCCCAGCAGCAAGCACGCCGCGTGCCCCTGCTGCCACGATTCTGAAACCTTCCCACAGGGTCACTGCTCCGGGGGGGACTCCATCCGCCCGGCGGCTTGGTCACAGCTGCCCGCGAGCGCGGCACAGGACGGGGCTCCTGCTAGGCGTCGTTACCGTGGGCGCTGGAGGCCGGGGGCCGCCTGTCTCGGGCGATGCTCTCCCACTCCTTCTTCACCAGGACGTACAGCCTCATCGCCGCCTGCGCATCTTGAATCTGGGGGACACGCAGCACCACCATGACTGTCCCGCTGGGCGACAATCGTGGCCACATACATGCCTGTCCACCCCACAGTTCCCGAGTCCTGGCATCAGACACGGACAAGCGAAGGAGAAAACTGACGAGAGCAGTGGTCCAGCACCACGGCCCTCACTGTGCTTCCGCGCCCCAGCTCACGGGAGGGAGGGACCCAAAGCGAAGGGATGACGTGCTGCCTCGTGGGTGCTCCAGACACCACAGAATGAGGAAGGAGACGGGGTGGGGGACGGCAGGCCCTGAACTTGGTGCCGGCTCCGCGGGCCAGCGGGCCCACGCGCGGTCCTAGAGGGCCTGCGATCCAGGCTCGGGCCTTCGTCTCCGACTGCAGCTCGCTGGTAGCTGTTTGGTGCGAAGTGTTAGTTAAACGTAGCCGTTTAGAAGCTAACCGCCGCTCCGCAGGCCCGCTGCCGCGCCATTCATCACGGGCCAGGAGCCCCTAAAACAGAAGCCGCCCGAGGCTGACACTGCGCCGTGCGCACGAGGCCCGGCACAGCCCCCGGTCCCGAGGCCTGTCACCCGGGACACACTCACCGAGCAGTGCTCCGTCTGCTGCACCCGGATCCCCAGGACTCGCTCCGCAAGCAGCTTCAGAGACGGCCGTCCACTCTGCCAGGGGAGAGGGCGGCGCACAGCCACGCTCGGGTGGGGCCTCTGTAGGCCCTGCCTGGGCAGGGGAGTTGCCCGCTGAGCCCCGACCCAAGGGACCTTCAGTGTCCCTCCCACCGGAAGTGCCCGCGGCCCTGCGGGTTGGTGACACCCGGTCAGCCCACAGAGGAGGACCAGGAAAGGACTCTGCCATGTCTGCCTTCCGGCCTCAGGCTGCCCTGCTCATTTCAAGGGCAGCTCTGCCTCTGCAACAGACACGATGGCGGCTTCTTGCCTGCAGTCGGGGGTCTAATCACAGAGACCAGAGAGTGGAGCTCACCTGCCCTCAGCGACACTAACTTTAAAGGTGGCATTTGGCAGAACTCTTTCTCTTCTAAGACTCCTTTTAGTTTTAAAGGTTAAAAGGAAAAACCAAATGAAACCCAACACCTTTCATCAGTAAGCCAGCCTTCAGGGACCAGAACCGACAATCACGTGAACCAAGAAACTGAACTACGCCGTGCGGGGCCGCGCGGCTCCAAGTACCTTCACTTGGCTCCGGAAAGGCTTGTACTTCTGAGTGTCCCGGATCTTCTTCTTCGGGTGACCAAGAAACAACGCCTGGAGGAGAAAATAGGATGGGCGTTTTGTTGTCCATCTGCAGCAGCAGACCCCTTCTACCAAACTCCAACACATGACACACGTGCACACACAAATAAGACAAGCACTGACACGAGCCTGAACTTCTGAGGGAAGATCACCGTGGGAAAAGTGATGGAAGGACCATGGGCATGAAAACAGCCTTGAAACCGGGGAAGCGGGAGACTCAGTCACCAAGGAGCCCGCAAGTGGCTGAAACGCGGGTCTGCGCGGGGAGGGAGCACAAGATACCGGGGCCTCTTGAAGTGAGAACTTTTATGACAAAACGCGTCTCCGTGGGCAGGACTTGGTTTTTAACAGTTCAAGCTCTACTTTCTCTCTTCTTCGGCCGCACTGCGCGGCTTGTGGGATCTTAGCTCCCGACCAGGGATTGAGCCCAGGCCCTGGCAGTGAAAGCGCCAAGTCCTAAACACTAGATTGCCAGGGAATTCCCTCAAAATTTACTTTTAAAAGACATTTAAGACCAATTTCTATGGGTCCCTGAAACATCGGAGGCTGCCAAGCTTCCAGGAAGCACCGTTTGAAAAGCTGCAGGACCAGGAAGGACAGTCTCCCACAGCTGCACGCCCCCAGCTTCTCGTCCCAACAGGTGGGTCAGCTCTGCCCACAGCAGAGACCCTAAGGGGCTGAGGCTGAGCCCCTCTCTCTGGGGCACGGGAAGGGGACCCTCCGAGCCTGCCTGCCGCCCGCTGTGCTGGCCGCCATGGGCCGGCCTGTGACACAGGGAGTGCCCAGTGGCTCCGAGGAATGGGCGCCGGGGATGCTCCCCAACAGGAGGGGCTCTGCCCTGAGAGGGGTGGTGGCCCACCGGACAGGTGAGGGTGGCAGACAGCGCCCGGCTCTGCCTACGAGGGTGTGCAGGGACCCGCTCCCCCAAGCTGACACGGTGGGCGCATCACCCGAGTCACGGAGAGAGCGCGACCACCTGGGACACCGCGTTACGTAAGAGGCGCCTGGAGCCAGCACCTTCAGGTCGTTGTGCAGCGCGTGTCCGACTAGAATCCGGCCCTTCAGCAGGTCTGCCACCTCCTTCTGAACGACTTCAAATTCTTCTCCTGGAAACAAAACAAAGCAGCGGTTTTTAGTGACACGTCCATCACTACCGTGCTGAGCGAGAGGACTGGCAGGCGGGTCTCTCTGCTCAGGAGGGCGATGCCAAGGCCGAGGGGCCATCCCAGCACCCCAACCAGGGAGAAGTGGGGGGAGCACACTCACAGCCCCCTGCCAGGGCAATTCTGACGGCTGAATCTAACAGTAAGAAGCCAGGGCATGTGTTTGATGTCTTTCCAACCGGAGGCGAAAACGAGGCAGGGGTGGCCCTCGCCACAGATGGTGAGAAGCCCGGCTCTAGACCCTGGGCTCCGGAGGCAGCTCTGCTTGCTTTTTCAGAGCGGACCCCTCGGGGCTACGCCCTCCCCTAACGCCCAAAGGGAAGGGCTGCAGCAACCGCGCTTGGGCCCCGCGCCTCTGCCCACCCGCGACCCTAGCAGGACCGGCAGAGCCCGGATGGAGATGTGGTCAGGCCCTGGGGCTGACGAGCGGCCGGGCCACCTCGGGGGCTGTGCTCCAGGGAACCTGAGAGGTGCAGAGAGCAGACAGCACGCAGCCAGAGGACGACAGAGCTGCCACCTCAAGCCCCTGCTCCCAGGATCTCCCCAGGTCCCAAATCTGGGGCCCCCTGTGTGCCTCTCTGCCCTCCCCCGACAGCCTGTCCATCGGCAAACCCTACTGGCTCAGCGTCCAGGCTGTGTCCCGAGCTGGGCCACGGCTCGTTGCCTTGTACAGCCACCTCTCTGACCAAGGGCACAGAGGACAGGCTCGCTCCTCCACCCCCGCGCCCCGCCCCAGCCTATGCCCAGCGCCGAGGCCCCCCGAGGGAACCTGCGCCAGACCGGGCCCCTCGCTGCTCACGGCCTCCCCACGGCTTCCGAATCCTCGCGTAGGCCTGGGAGCCCCTCCAGCCTGTCCCGCCTCCCCACCCCTTCCCCACCCCACAGCAGCCTCTCTCCGTCCAGGAACGCTGTCCCAGTCTTCAGGTCGGGTGGCCAACAGGCAGCGAGGCCGACGCAAGCGGCCGTGGGAGCCTCTGAGCCCACCCGCCCGGGAGGGAGGAAGACCGCCGGGCTCTCGCTGCGCCCGTGCCTGCAGCAGAAAGGGCCGCAGGGAGACATGGAAGCGCTCCAGCCGCCCCCGCCTGCGTGCCCATGCTGAGGCGACCCACCCTGCGCCAGGTCGTCGGGCCGGATCCCGCTGACCGCCGTCCTGTAGTCAGTCACCGGCTGGGCTGGCTTCACGTACTTGTCATAAACACACTTCCCGTACTGGTTCACCAGGGACACGCGGGCCACGATGCTCTCTTCCCCCTTGGGGCCCACGCCCACCATCTCACAGTCCACGGCTAAGGCTTTAGTCAGGCTGGAGGGGAACGAAGGCTCCAGTTTAATCCACTCGCGGGACCCAGGAACTGGCACCACTGCTCAGTTATGTGACAAGGACGGGTGTCAGCCGGACGCCGAGAGGCGCCTGCCCAACTCAACGGGAGGAGAGGGAAGCGGGCCCTTCCTGAAGACCCCCGCCCCCGCCCCCCGGGGCCCTGCCCCACGTGCCCCGCATACCCGCTGAAGGCCCGCTCCTTCACCAGCGTGATGGTGCTCTCACTCTGACCCAGCCGCTTCCGTGCTATCCTGGCTGCCTCCGGGCCGATGGCTGCTTCGATGTCCGCTGGGTCGACGTCGTCAAACCAGATGTCTTCTCTAAAAGGCAGAGGGGAGAACAGGCTGAGCACGGGCAGGCGAGCGGGGTCTGCTCTTAGGGCAGCCCGGCCCCAAGTGCCTGGCCGCCAGCCCACCGCTCTGGCTACTGTGATCATCCTGCCGCTTTCCTTTTTAATTACTCATTAGGGACTTCCCTGGTGGCACAGTAGGTAAGACTCCGCACTCCCAATGCAGGGGCCCTGGGTTCGATCCCTGGTCGGGGAACTAGATCCCACATGCACGCCGCAACAAAAGACCTCGCATGCTGCAAGAAGCCTGGGCGCAGCCAAAAAATAAAGAACAAACGACACTCATCAGCTGGAACTTAGGAACTACAAGCAACAGAAAGGACATAAAGCAAAAATACGCCCCCACCCCCAGTCAGGTGTACCGGCTGCTAACGTTTTCTTCTTAGTTACAAAACGGTTCAGTTATGAAACATTTAAGAACCTCAGAGAAACGCGATGAGTGCAGAACATAGACAAAGAGCCCCACCACCAGGTCCCCGGGCCGAGCCCTGCAGACGTGGACTGCAGCCGGGCAGGGATGGGGAGCGGTGGCTCGTGACTGCGTCTTTCGGGCTCAGCGTCCATGTCATTTCTTTAGAGTCAGCCTCCTGAGCTCACTGACTGGACGCGCCCCTCTGGCCATCTGCCCCCACAGGCTTCTCCCTCGTTGGATGTATCCCGACCACATTGAAGGAATTACTGAAATAAGTTCAGTGCATCGTCTGTCGCCCTCGAGACAGAGGGACCTGTCGTGACTGCTGTTTCCAGAGAGCGGGCCTGGGGCAGTGACTCGCGGCAGGCACTCAAACTGTTCTTTCCTGAAACCTTCAGCGATGGTGTCCTCAACCCCAGGCAACACACAGCCAGGCTGACTTACCATCACGCCACTCCTGGCTGAGCCATTCAGAGGCAGCCACTGACTTCTGCTCCTCCCCGGGTGGGTGACACCACAGGGTCTGCTGACCAGGCACTGGGTCGGCACGCTGCCCCTCGCGGACTCGCCGCAGGTGAGCACGCCGAGGCTCCGGGCACGTCGGGAACCTGCCCCACACCACCCAGCTAGCAAGACGTGGCAATCGGCTTCACGCTCGGGTCCCTGTGGCTTTGGCGTTCATTCATTCCAAAGACCCTTCCTTGGGGCCTCCCACGTGCCAAGCCCTGTTCTAGGCCCCAGAGACAAAGCAGCTGTGAAACAGGCTGTCTCCCTCGTGCCCACATTCCAGGGGAGACAAATAGTCAACAAAGAAACCGACAGCACCAGGGCAAGGTGACGGAGGGGCCAGCAGCCTCAGCCTCCTTAAGGAGACAGGCCTTAGTGGCTGTGACCCGGCTCTCGGCCAGGAGGCCGATTAGGCCAAGACGGTCATCACAGCTGCGCCAGCCCGGGGGTACTTACTCGGTGGGCGGGGCCGGAGGCAAGGTGGCGGCCACCTCCTCAGCTTTGCACTTCTTATGTCTGATTTCTCCTCGTTTCGGGGAAATGTCATCATTGGTCCTTTTCTTCGCTCCTTTCTCATTGCGCTGTGCTCGGATCTTCCTGTTCGTCAGACATCCTGAGGGCACAGAGCCCCGTGTGGCCTTGGGGTCTGTGTTTTCTGTCCCCATCTCATCTCTCTTTGCTTTATCTGAGATCACTTTCCTGTTTTGTTGGACACCTTGGGGCTGCTTTTTGGAATCCGTCTGAGAGAGAACAAGAGCCTCTTCCGGGGCCTGTGATTTTTGTTTCAGCAACTAACGGAACCCAAGATAAAACACGAAACGCATTTTAATTTGGAAAACACGCACAAAGGATTAAGAAGGCTTACACGTGTGTGTGTGTGTGTGTGTGTAAAAGAAACCTGTTTCCACATTTAGAGTTAACTCCTTCACAGCTCAGGCCAACAAGCTGGTGCATGGCAGCCACCTTCTTGGTTTGCTACTGCTGTGAGGGTCTCAGGAAGAGAGGAGTGTGTCCAACAAAAAAAGGCTGAAAAAGGGCTGACAGCCGCACCCCTGCTCTCCTACACGGAGGGCTGAGGTCTCCCAGCCCAACCTCCTCTTGTGTGCAAGTCCCCGGTGTGGCCATTCTCAACACGGTTAGGACCCTGCTACGTGGCAACCAGCTGAGTGATCAGGTGGGTTTCTACTTACCTGTTCCTATAATGTTTAGAGAAGGAAATACTTTCTTGTATCAACTGGAGAAAACACAAAGTTTTTTCCGTAATAAATATCCCTCTGCTTGCTTAGTTTTGCTTTACTTTCTTGAGAGAAAGAGATAAAGTTACAGCTCAAGAAATCATAGCACCCGGGGGTTGCCGGAGGAAAAATTTCATCGGCCTGTGTGTCAAGACAGGAGAATGCTTTGGACTCTGCCCTAAGGTGCCCGGCTGTGTTAAGAAGCTCAGAAGCTCTTACGTTCCCGCTCTCACTCTGAGGCTCCCTCCGTAACCGATTTCAGGAACTAGAAGAGACTTTGAAGGTCACGCCCCACGGTATGAATGTGCACCCCCGTCTGCCATCTGCTAGCTAGCTATGCGACCTTGAGTCAAGTTCCTTAAACTCTCTGCCTCATCTAGAAAACAGCGATGACAACAGCAGCCAACTCAACGGAACTGGAGAGAATTTATGAATGAAGCAGAGCAAACAGCATTTAGGAGACAGTAACCTGTAACCTGTAGGTAAGTTTGGGCCACTGATTCCGAGAAAGGCAGTAGGTTCAACACGGCATTACGAGCAGGGACTTGGGCGTCTGACTCCTGGATCTGCTGAACCGGCTGCAAACCTGGACACCTTACGTAACCTTTCCAGCCTATTTCCTCGTCTGTAAAGTGGAGATGATTAAGGACTCTATCTCAGGGTTGGTTAAATAAGAACACATGTAACTCGGCCGGCAGCGTCTGCACATTTTAAGAGCTCAGCAGCCGGCGGCAGTTGCTGTCAACTCTCACCTATTAAAGGTCCAGGGTGTCGCCAAAATCCTTTACATCAAGTCCCTGCCATTCACTGGCCTGCGAGCTCGCCGCCGCCCGCAACAGGCCACCTCTCTGCGAACCGCTCTGTCCACAGCGTTCACGCCAATCTGCGCTCCCTTGGACCCCACAAGCCCTTCTCCGTTTTTCCATCCGCGGGGCCCCCGCGACCTTACCTCCTCCTGCAGCGCCTTCCAGTTTTGGGAAAAGTCCTCCGGTGCCTTTGGAGGTCGCACCACGACCACGCCGGGGCCGTTTCCCTGCTTTCTGCCTGCTTCTCGCGCTTTGTTCTTCCAAAATCTTTTCTTCCTGTTTTTCTTCCGATTCGGCTTCTTGACGAGCTCGGGCTCAGGCGCGGGGTCGCCCGGTGCGCGCTCGGGGGCCAGCACCCTCGCCTTCGCCATCCCGGCACCGTCCCGGCCCCCGCGCCCATCCACGGCGGCGCCGCGGCCCCGGAGCCAAGCTCTGCCCGCCGAGCACAGGTCCCGCCGGACCCCAATTCGCCGGCCGCGGTGACAGCAGCGCGCGGGACCCCGGAAGCCGCCCCGCGCGAGTCTCCACACGTGAGCGCCGATCCCAGGAAGTGTCCTTCTCTCGCCGACCGGCTGGAAACCGGGTCTTCGCCTCTGGTTCCGCGCGGCCGGTAGCAGGGCGGGGCTCTTTGTCCCCCAAGGGAAAGGGCTGCCACCCTGGCGAGCGGCGTCCGCGGTCAGCGACCCAGGATCCGGTTGGGGTAAGCCCGGGATCTCCCCGAGGGCCGGCCTGGGGCCGAGAAACGTGAGCGCCGGAAGGGAACTGGGGGGGCCGCCGTTGGTGTAACACCGAGGCCCGGCCGGTGGAGGGCGGGGCCGGCGGCCGCCAGGGGTCGCTGGACGGCCGGGCCTGGGAGCGGCGGGTGCGGAGCGGACTCACAGGGACTCCGGGCAGCTGTCTCCCGCGCCGGGGTCCGAGCCCGGCCCATCTTCCCTACGCGGCGGGGAAACTGAGGCCCAGGGACGGGAGGGAGCAGCCCAGGTCGCACAGCCTGCTTTCCCAGGGCCGTAGTTCAGCAGCATCCGATAACAATAATAAGCACTGTAACAAGTGTTGAACTGTATTATTTTGTGTGACAACAATGAAAACAGGTCACTTGCGCACCATGCCTTTGCTCTGGCAATACCTGGATCAGCGACGCAGGTGAGGCCTCCACTTCCCCAAAGCTTCCATCCCAGGCTCTGTACGTGCGTGGGGCCCTTCAGGGAAATACAAATGCTAAACCAACAATGGTGGATAGTAGTAATTGCAACGAAGACGATGAAGTGAGATACAGTGGTACGGACTTGAGGAGGAGTAAGGCTACCCAACAAAATGCAGGACGCCCAGAGAAATAGAAATTTCAGATAAAGAATAATTTTGAGTATAAAAATGTCCCATATATTAGCTGCAATTTGGGGGGCATACTTAACACCAAAAAAAAAAAGAAAAAGCATCATTTACCTGAAATTCAAGTTTCGCTGCTGTCCTAATTTTTATTTTCTAAATGTGACACCTTTCCCTGGGGGGCCACTTAGATGGTGCCACGAGGGAGGTGACATTTGAGCTGAAACTAGAGCAGCAAAGCACTGGGCGTATTTGAGGAACGGAAAGCAGGCTGGGGGGGGGGGGCGGTGGCTGAAGGTCTGTGAGCAGTGTGGGGATGGCTGGGGAGGCAGGCAGAGGGCTGGTGCCACCGTCCCGGTTCTGTGGGCAGCCGTCAGCTACAGGCACAGAGCAGGCAATAGCTGAGAGGGAGGGAATGAGGACAGGAGAGCGGGAACAGGTCATGGAAAGCAGGGTGTCCATAGGAAGCAGGTGTGATGGTGCCTCAGCCAGCCGGGAGCCACAGTCACACAGATGGGAGATGAATCCCACCCCCGCTCTGTGCTCCCAGGCACAGGACCGGTGGCTGTGCTCTGAGCCAAGGCCCAGCCCAGCCCAAGGCCGGGCGGCGGCGGGAGGAGCCTGCAGGCCGCCCAGCCCCTCAGCCCCTGCCCTGGGAGGAAGCGCTCACGAGTAAACACAGCCTCATCATCCAGCCCAGCAGGTCTGTCGCATTCCACGCCGGCCAGATTGCAGTCGCTCTCCCTTCCTGGGAGGATGAGTGAGCTTCGCCTCCAGGGGAGATGTGTGCGGGCAATTCTCATCTCTGTGCCCCTCGTCCTCCTGGGCTGCTGGGGACTCCCTGATTTCCGGCAGGTGGGTGGATCCGAGGGCTGCGGTGCTGGGGGAGCCCCGAGAGCTGGGAATCTGGGCTCCGCTGGGTGCTGAGGGCGGGTCCCTGGGGGAGAAGCGGCTGCCTGACAGCCCTTGGGCCAAGTGGGAGGAAATCCGAACTTGGGGTTCAGGGGCTGAAGTGGGCTCACTGGAGAGGGAGTTGGCCTCGGTACTGTCCACCCACCTGTTGAGGGGCAGACCCGGCTAGGCGGTGTGAGTGGCTTGCCTCCTCTCCATCCTGGGACCCCTCTCCATCCTGGGCCCCTTCTCCCCCCCACCACCCCCGCCTGCTCCTCTCCCACACCTCCTTCTCCCTCATCTTCCCTCACTCATCCTTTCTCCCACAGCAGTTCCTTCAGGCTTTGGAGCCAGAGGAAGTGACCGCTTACTTTGGCCCTGACGTTGCCTCCGAAGGTACTTGTCCTGGCGTCTTCCTTGCGAGGGGAGTTTCTCAGAGCCTGCAGGGGGCATCTCACCCTTGGGTCAGGGACCTTGGCTTTTCAGTGGCTCAGCTGAGAGGAAGTCAGAGCTGCTGCTGTCACCCCGTTAATTAGTTCTGTTACTTCCTGCCAAGTCGATAAAAACTGGTCTGGGTGTCCTGGGCCGGGCTGGGGTTGTGACCCTGGGATTCTGCTCAGTATCTCAAGGGAACGGGCACTAATTAGCTGGTCTCTTCCACCCCTGGGCCTCCCTTTGGGCTGACTGACTGTCAGGAACTCTTGCAGTTTCTGGCCAGGATGTAAACATTTATCTTTTCTGTGAGACACAAGAAGGGCGCTGGGTCAAGCTCCAGCCAAAGCCTTTTCCTGTTGCTCGTGGACCGTGTCTGTGGACTTCTCCATGGTGCCAGCCCCCTTTCCAAGTAGGGCCATTGGTGATCCAAAGGCAGGTGGGGACCAGAGGCAGGGTAGGCTAGTGGTCAGAGCGGAGGGAATTAGGGGTGTCACTCGTGCCTGCCTTCTCTGTGGTCGGGGCCAGATGCACGCTGAGCGATGGCTGGGGTCGTGCTGCGGGCAGGGGGAGCTGTGCTGGAGGGCCGAACAGGGGGGAGTGAGGGGCCTCCTATCTCCCGCAGTGCCCCGATTCGACGTGGCCCCGCTCACCTGCGTCTGTGAGCCCGAGCATGAGGCCGAGGACGGGCGCGGGGGGCTGCCCTGCAGGGCCCCGAGCTGCTCCCTGGCAGCCCTGGGACGGCTCTTCTGGGCCTCCTTGCCACCTCCTTCACCAGCGAGCGGGTGGTCAATGCCTCCCTCCGGCTGCTGGGGGCCCCCCACCCCTGCCTCGCGGGAGGCCTCGCCCTGCTGCCCCCAGGCGCAGCGTCCAGGCTCACCTTCTGCCTGGGCTGTGTGGTGAGTGGGCGCCCAGGCCGGCAGCAGGGGGAGGTTGTGCCGTGGGGACCCCAGTGGGGCAGAGATGCCTCCGAGCCCCCGCTGCACAGCCAAACGTGAGCGCAACACCACTTAGCCAGACTCTGACGCCATGGGGGCCTGTTCCTCGGAGGCTCATAAAAGCCAGCTGAGGCCACCCAGCTAGCAGGCGGCAAGCCCGGGGAACAGGGAACGGAGAGAGGGTGGGCTTTGCAGTCAGACCTCTGAGCTCAGACTCCAGCTCTGCGCCTTAGTACAGGCGACCTTGGGCCAGGCACTCCCTAGACGTCAGCGTCGTCACTGATGGGACTTCCCAGGTGGTCCAGTGGTTAGGACCCGGCGCTTTCACTATGGGGGCCCAGGTTCGATCCCCAGTCGGGGAACTAAGATCCCACAAGCTGCGAGGCCAAAAAAAAAAAAAAAAAGAAAGAAAGAAAAGAAAGATTAAGAAAGAAAGGAATGGTGAAGGCAGCAGCCGTGGCCTTTTGGGTATCTTTGGGGATTGTCACGCGTTGTCACGATGCATCACTGAACGAGCCAGAGCCGTTTATGTCACAACCACCCGCCTCCCCGCCCCATTCCGGGGTCAGGAGGCCCAGCCTGGGTTGGAACAGATGCCGCTCAGGGCCCATCTGGTGACAGGCAGTGCTGTTCATTAGTGCAGGCCTAGCTGGTCCCTCAAGACCCCTCCATTCTTGCACACGTGGGGCCCCGCCAGGATCCTTACCAGGCCCTGCAGACTGGGGCCGGGAGGCCTTGTGCGTGACGGGGACTGGAAGCGTGGCTGGGGCCCTGGCAGCAGGTGGTGGGCAGCGAGCGCAGCCCACAGAGGGCATGGCTCCCCCGCTGTTCCACACAGATGGGCTCTTGGACCTTGGACTTGGGCAGGAGCCCTTGGAGGGGGCAAGTCCATGCCTGGTGCTGTGATGGCCCTGCATGGGGGATGGGGCTGTGTGCACCAGGCAGCTCTGTCTCCTCCAGGAGGGCGACATCCTGGTGGGTGCAGACGGGTTCTATATCCAGCCGTTGAGGAGGTGGCACCGGGAGCTGGTGCCTCCCTGGGGTGGTGCCCAGCCCCACCTGCTCCACAGGCCCACCCCCAGGGCACCCACGGTTCCAGGTACAGCTCCTGGGAGAGGGAGGGTGGAGCTGTGTCCAGGACAGCTCTGCAGGAGGGACCAGCTCTCCTGATGCCTGGGCCCAGCTCCACCAGCCACCTTTGTTAGCACGCAGGGGAGTGCCCCTCTCACGGGGCAGGCCAGGAGAACACGTGGCCACCAGCCGTGGCCCCAGGCCATCTGCTTGGTGGGCAGGTAGACCTCCCACCTCTGAACAGCCACTCACAGTTTACAAAGCGTGTTCACAGACGTGCGCCGTGGAGCCTCGGGCGGGCCGAGGTCAGCGGATCCTGGTAGATCCGATGCTGCAGACGGGAATCCAGAGGCCCAAAGATGGGAGGTGGCGGCCGCAGGCCTCCAGGACGGCTCCAGGGCGTGGGCAGGACCAGGCCGGCTCTGCCGCCAGCACGCCCACTCACGCCTTCCCCAGGCTGCGCCCGGCTGCAAGCGGGGTGTGGTCCTGGGCTCTTCTTGCCGTCTCGGGGTGACCCCCTACTCCAGTGTGCGCCCAGCATGGGGCTTTGGGGCGGCCAGAAGGACATAAAAGCCACACAGCAGCTGATGTCTCCTGGTCTTGCGCTGCCCCGAATGCCCAGGCAGCAATGGGATCTGGGCCCGAGGGCTGGAATGAAACGTCTCCACCTGAGACGGCCATCCTCCCACAACCCGGCCGCCTCTCCCCTGTAAGCTGGTCGAGCTGTCAGTTCTAACGGTCACAACGTGAATGACATGCGAGAGCTCGGGACCTCTCACCCTCTGAGAGTGTTTCCTCCCGAAGAGCTGGGAGGACCAGGATGCCCCAGATGAGTTGGTG